GGATCTCTATCTCTACTCCTGAATTTACAGTGTTAGAACTACCTGGTGGCCTAAAATGATCTTGTTATGTCTGTAATTGGTTTAGCATCATCCCAACCTTTCTGCTAGTCTCATTCATCATATATACTGGGTTCATAGTAAGTTTTTCTATCAAGTCTTGCTTTTGTAACTGAAGTTCTATCACAGTCTTTGGTCCACACCATGTTCTAGTACTTTCAGCCACTGTTATGATACCATATTGTGATATTCCAAGACTTGGAAGGATTAACAGAGAAGATAATATCAGAAGTTAGATCTAGGGTCCTATTCCCAACTTACTGTAAGAGTTATATTCACATGGCCTTCTGTTTATAGTAACACTTTCTGGAATGCCAAAATACTCATCAGTAGCACAAAGGAAGACATTCATATACTTATAGGCTACCTATCCTCTTGCTAATTTTCTATTACCAAATCACCTTTGTTCTTCAACATTCTATCTTGGCTCAATCCTATGTCCAGTAAATTGATTTTATATAATTTAATAACTTCTTTGTTTGCTTGGTCATTCTTGGTCTGGCCCAACTACTGCCACCCTAGAATTGAGAGTAGAAGTGAGTGACATGATGCAAATGTGAAGGTACAGTGGATGGTTAACACAATGACTATTATCCTGTTGATAGTGACACTGGCATTCATTCCCAGAGATGCTAAATACCTTGTGCAAGGAACGTGCCTAACGGGCCAAAGATACAATGTGCTGACAAGCACTAGTGGCAGCAGAGTCCCAGTTTTAACAAAATTCTTTTTATAGAAGACATGGATATTGACCCAAGAGCTGTCTCTGACTAGTCCTACCATTTTGAGTCATGTAAACTTTATGGGTCTTAGCTTTTTCATCAGGAAACTGGGCTATATAACATTGTTTGATTTTTTATTATATTTTAAGTTATTGTACATTTTTATTTTATTTACCATATATTTTCATCTATCCTATATACCTACATTTTTTGGAAAAACATTATTATTCTGTGGCTCTTTAAGGCATCTGAAATACAGTAACTAGTCCCTTAATCTCCTAACTATGAAGAAAGCATGTTTTAAAATCTCCTTCCTGTATCTAGATAAGACCCCACAGATCACATATCAATCAAAGCATTTATCAGGTGTTACAAGATATAACAGTTTCTTCAAAAGTTCTCAAGAAACAAAAATAAATGTGGGTATGATGGATTGGGTAATGAAGAAGGCTGAAATACAGGATTCTAGCCTTGAATCAAGGAACACTGACTCAGAGAGTAATACATAAATAAACAAAAATATCAAGGGGAAAATCTGTAAGAGACATTCCTCATTCTGAGCTAATATTCACAAGCCACTCAGGGAGGAACTCAGGCACAGGGGCAAAAGGAGGAACATGAAGAGTTTATATCTCCATCTGAAAAGGAAAACTTTATGGAGTAAATTTAAATTTATGGAGTAAATTTATATGCATTCCTATGGACCATATGGAATCAAGTGGTGGACTTAACTGCCCCCTACTTGTCCAAAACCCAAAGGAATAAATAAGTAAGGCCTATGAACATAAAGAGTAATGATTGGACTGTTGGTTTGTAACTTTGCTTGAAGCAGGTTATACATATGAAGAAGAATCAAAGAGAAAAGGATAACAGCTGTTTTCTTCTTCCTTCTTACAAATTATTAAGTAAAGACCAAGAATTTATTATAATGTCCTTAAAACATCTTTCTCCCTGCCCAACACGCAGGCTTTCTCAGAACAAAGTCAGATGGTGTGGAAGCCAGCCTCCAAGATGGCTACCAAGGATTCCTGCCATCTGGTATTGATACCCTTGTGCCATTTGATCTCTCATTGTACCCAGGTTGGTCTGTATGACTAGCAGCATTGTAGGAGAGACGGTAAGATGGTATATCACTGCTGAAATTAGGTCACAAACAGACAGCTACTTCTGTCTTGGACTGGCTGTCTTGCACACATGTTCTTCTCACTCCCTTCTCGGGAAAGCAACCTGCCATGCTGTGAGCAGCCCAATGGCAAAGAACTAATGTCTCCAATCACTAACCACTGAGAAATAGTAGCCAGTGAGACCAATTGGCAACTATATGAATAATCTTAGAACAGAATTCTGTAGCCCCAGGGGAGCCTCTGAGAGGACTCAAAAACTCAGCTATAGTATAACCTCATGAGAAACCTTGAGCCAGAAGCACCTAGTTAATCAACTTCCATATTCCTTACCTGGAGAGAATATGTGAAATAAAAATTGCTTGCTGTTTCAAGCTGCTAAAATTTAGAATAATTTATTCCATAACAACAATAGATAATTATTACAGGTGGCAAGATCTGGGATATAAAATATTCTGTTTAAAAGCTGACAAATACTTCATATACTAAAATATAAAGTTATAAAGTTCTCAGAAATTAGGCAAGCAAACCAATTTAAAGTTTTATACAATCAGGATCGCCTGGGTGGCTTAGTCAATTAAGCATCTGGTTTCAGCTCTGGTCCTGATCTCAGAGTCCTGGGATCCAGCCCCATAGGGAGTCTGCTTTTCCCTCTCCCTCTGCCCCTCCCACTACTCATGTTTTGCTCACCACACTCTCTCTCAATAAATAAAATCTTTAACAAAATGAAATTAAATTAAAACAATGAAAAATAAAGTTTTATATACTTTATTTTATATACTTTAAAGTATATTGTATATACTTTACTTTATATATGTAAACCTGAGTTTTTCCTTTAAGTCAAAGACATATCTACTGGGGGAAAAAACTGTGTGGATAAATGTTGGCTATAAAACCCACCTCATCATTTTTAACAAACTTTCAGCATTTTAAATTACTTCTTTATTTTACTTTCTTCACTAGAACCCCAGTTTCAGCTTCACTGAAAACTCATATCAAGTAGGAGGGGAAAAAAAAGCATATTTGAAGGCAGACACAACCTTCTTTCATTTGTAGAAGAGCAGCTTAAAGACTGCTTAAATTGGAGATAATGGCTTATATGAATTGTGTGAGATGCTGCATTAACTTGTTGTCATTAGCATCATTATTAAAACTGAGGCTAAACACTCACCATGTGTTATACAGGGCACATTAGCTATATAAAAGACATCACTGATGCCCCTCTGGGAACAGATCAGAGAAGTTCAAAATCCATGATTCCCATCAATACTTGAAAAAACTACATTGTACTATGTCAATTTGTAACTACACAATGTAGGAATTATTAGATTAGCTAATCTTACTTTAAAAATTAAATCTCAATATAAATTTTATATATATAAACTAACTTTGAGGTTAAAAAACTGAAGCAGAAGTTATAGGAGAAATTCATCAAATAGTAGTTAACTCAAAATCTTCCTTTATGCTTGACTGCATTTAGAAATTAAGGAGCTGGGTTCCCCTACTTTTCTGTTATTTCCCCATCTTGGATGGGTATGACCAGACTGACACTTCCAGTTCTGTCAAGCCAGCAGCATTTAAGACAGGGGGAGGAAAGTCACATCTGGCCCGAGCTTCAACTTGTTTCTAAGTCTGCTTGTTCCTGCCTCTCCTGCTGTTTCTTCCACTTCCAAAGATATGATTAATATCTAGACTCTGTAAAACTTTCGTTGTAAGCAAGGCTGAGGGCTTTCCATCCCAATGAGGTTGAGGTTTGGAGTTAATGAGAAGGGAGACTGTGGGGAATGAACACAAAGATGCCAATGTTGAAGTAATTGTGCATGAATATCAGACACTGACTTGGGAACAGTCTTCATCTGCTGATGGAGAGTCTGATCAGCTGGTGGGCAGAGGGAACATGCCCAGATCTGCAATTCACTGCCAGCCCCAGAATTTCCAAATTATAACAGCCTGTGCATTATAACCTTTGTAACTTTGCTTCCCTATCTAGAATCATGCTTTGCTTTCTTTCTTTCTTTCTTTTTCTTTCTTTCTTTCTCTTTCTTTCTTTCCTTTTCTTCTTTCTTTCTTTTCTCTCTCTCTCTCTCTCTCTCTCTCTCTCTCTCTCTTTCTTTCCCTTCCTATCCTCTCTTCCTTCTTTCTTTCCTTCCTATGAAAGGTTTCTTCCCTTTCTTCTTTATGAATTTATTTTACCCATCCCACGCTTTATAAAGAATTTACATTTTTATCTCAGTAATTGCTGTTTCTTTTACAAATATGTGTGATTTGGTAATGCCAGTTTAGAATAACACAGAGGATGATGTTGTGGTTCAAAGAATTGCTGAGGCTACAATTTTTATTTTAAAAACACTGCATTGTCCTCTAAAACCAGTGAAAAGTTATTAATTACTGTAATACCCTCCTATGTGTCTTCTATCACTCTCAATTAGATCATATACATATTCTTAGTAGTAGTAAGGATCTCTGGAAGGTTTGCACAATAGTAGTGATAAAATGAATGCCTTAATAAGCTGTGTGTCATCATTAATTTCACATTGTAATGAATAGTTTTATACAGAACATAGTAATAATGGTTTCAAGAAAACTAAAATTAAAGAAAAAAAACTGTGGTTCTCAATTCTGGGGACACAGAATTATGCGTTTTTATAAACATTCATGTACAAGGATGTTTTTATTAGTTCACAATGCAAAAAATAAGACATAACTTAAATATAACTCAATTGGGAATTGGTTAAATTAAACACAGCATATTCATTAAAGGAAATTAAAAATGACTTGTGAAAAATATATATTAACCAATGAGGTTGTAGGCAGCAATAGTATATTACTAAATGAGCCTATATAAACTACACTCATTTAAAATATATATGCTTAAAGGACTAAAGCATTAATGATTATCAGATGGTGATGGAATTACTTAGACTGCTTCCACTTGTCATTTTCTAAATTTCTATTTGAATGTGTCTTAAAATTGCTATAAACTTTGTTTTTAAATAACCAAAGAGTTTCTAAATCCCTACACATACACCAAGGAAGCCAGAAAAGAACACAGGAAAAGCAACCACATGAGATCTTAAATATAAAAGTGTTTATAGTTTACCTTAACGGCATAATATTCTTTAACTTCAGGCCTAATAGAATCAAAGTCTCCACTGATGAATTCAGGCAAAAAGCTGAAAGAAAGAATTCCAAGTAAATCAACTAATTAAGAGTACTTCTTTGTTAACCTTTAAAACTATGCCAAGAGGATGTCTTACACTCTTGGTTTCTATATTGTATGACTAAAAGCAACTCATATACCAGGCTAATTCATCAACTTAGTCAAATTGCCTGTCAATGTTTATCCTGCTTTAAAAAATAAAGATTAAAGAAGATTATTGATTTAAAAAAACTCCCAGTTCAGGGGTGCCTGGGTGGCTCATTGGTTAAGTGTCTTGCCTTCAGCTCGGGTCATGATCTCAGGGTCCTGGGATCGAGCACCACATTGGGCTCCCAATGAGCAATCTGCTTCTCCTTCTCCCTCTCCCTCACTGCTCATTCTCTCTCTCTCTCTCTCTCTCTCTCAAATAAATAAATAAATATTTTAAAAATAAATAACTCCCAGTTCAAAAACCCTAATACCAAGACTCCTAATCTTTCCATATTACTGTCTACATATACACAAATGTTTACATTACTGTGCCCTCACACACATTCAGAGCATCAACAAATTTGAACAGAACAGATGAAGAACAGGATTACGCATTCTCTGAAGAGCAGGAGTCAGTTCAATGACATTTTCCAAATGCCCTATTGACATATTTCTGGAAACAGGAGGCTTCTAGACACTTCTGAAATACTACACAAGTCATAGTAGAGGGAGAGAACTCCCCAAAATGAATGTCTCTAATTACATCATAATTATTTATTTCTCTTCCCAACCATTTATAATTTGTTCAGAGCTTTATTTTACTGAGTATTATACACATCAAGAGTTGAAGCCCCAGAACTTGGAAACATCTCTAGGTCATAAAAGCCAAGACACAGACAGACGCTATCGGGCTCCTAGAGAGATTCTACTGACACCAATGGGTTGAGGTTATAGAATTTTCATAGAGACTCTTGCAAGAGGGCAGAAGCTGCCACAACGCACTTAATAAATTTAAGGGGGGAACCACAGGTCCCTTTATTCGCCAATGCTGGGTGCAGTTACAAGCACTGGACAATGGACATGGCTGTCACTACAGGGTCAAAGGGTAAGAACCAGAGAAATGGCGCCTGAGGTACTAAGAAACTGTACTTAGAACAGCTTATATATGCACTTGGGATAAGCAGTCCATCGCCTTAACAACTCAGCCACCTCGTCCCAGTGCACGCAGGATAAAATGAATAAAGATGAACATGAAAACCCCATATTAACCCTGTCCTTTCATGCCACCTTTTTCAAGTTTTTAACTTAATTGAAAATATTACTTCTTAGGTCTAACCTAATCCAACTAATCTGTGTTAGACAAACTCTTCTTTGAGCTTTATGTCTTCCTAGGACATATGGTAAGAAGTTCTCCCACAATGATCTGTACTACATTAAGTGCTTAGTTTCTCGTGGTTTGTTAACCAACAATGGTTGCCTATGGAAATTTTTGGTAATTAATAAAATTGTTACATTCACTCAACATCAGCCATGTACAAAAGACAATAGTTTATTTCAGAATTGGGAAGTATCTAAGTTTTTAAATCACTTGCCTGGTTTCAACATCTTCCTGTAAACTTTTCTTCTCAAATTGTCCCTGGCTACATATCCATTACTACTAATTTTATTTTACACATATTTAGGCAAATATTTTTTTACTCTACCCATATAAGGTCTAAAAATAGACTTGAAGTTTCTTTAAAATGCTGCCATCAAACAACATTCAACCACCCATAGAACAAAACTCACATAGATCTCAGAATTTATTATTGCTTGCTAGGGTCTGAATGTTTGTGTACCCCTCAAATGTGTATACTGAAATCTTAAATATAATCTAATATAATGTTATTAGGTGGTGAGGCCTCTAGGAGGTGATTGGGTCAGAATGGTGGCCCCCTCATGATTGGGATTACAGCCCCTATAAAAGAAACTCCAGCTCTCTTGTCCCTTCTACCATATAAGGACACAGCGAGAAGACAGGCATCTATGAGCCAGGAAGTAGATCTTACCACACACTGAACCTTGATCTTGTACTTCCTGGCCTTCTCATGAGAACTAAGTTCTCCCCATGAGAACTAAGTGCTTGTTGTTTACAAGCCACCCACTCTATCGTATTCTTGAGAGCATCCAGCAAGAATGAGGCATTGCTGGGAGGAGGAAAAGGAATCATTCCTCCAATATCTTCATTATCCTTTGTAAGGAACCAAGACCCAAGAAGTCAAGTGAATTTTGTACATATGGCTAATATCCAATCTATTTCACCATGTAAAGTAGCCATTTAAACTTAGGACTTGGGTTCTCTGCAGTATGAATCATCCAACTTCCTCATAAAACTGATTTTATATTGCTCTACAGATTTTAGTCCCTCAGATATCTAGAATCAATTTGCCAGTTTCCAAATATCATATTGATTTTGAGAATAAATAAAAATGAAAAATAAAAACTGATACACACAAGCAACTAGTGTTGGTCCCCATAGGATATGCAATTTTAAACAGAATTAGATTTCTTTTTATCACATAAGTGAATCATGAAGGAAAGCAATCATATAAATTTACTTATATTTTCACATAAAATATTTATAGGAAAGCAAACTTATATTGATACAAGATAATTGATTAACTTTTTAATATAATTTTCTCCAAAATAACATACATGCTTTAAACATGAATAAAGAAAAAAATGAACAAGGATACTTATTTCTAAGAAGGCTCATGCCAAAAATACACCTGATATACAGGCTGAGATGACTACAATAATTATAACTTCTTGTCATACAATACAGTAGTTTTTGAAACTTCCTGAAATGTGCTTTTGAACAGAACAATTAAAAACCCATCTCACATTTCTGAGGCATCGGTTGCCATGGTAGTGGGCATGGCACTGAAGAGGCACTTACTGGGTATGACACTTCACAGATACAGAGGTATGACATAATGATATAAAAGAGTTTACACATGAAGATTATTTTCATAACTCTTTAGGGGCTGAGTGCTTATAGCAAGTGACTAAGGGTACACAGAATCCTGTCTCCACTGACCATATGTCTGTTCACCGGTAGCACCAATCACACCAGTACATCTCACCTTGGTATCCTCAAGCTACTGGCACTGACTGGCTGGTACTAAAAGGTACTCCAAATACTCCATAAATGGCATAGACTCTTTTAGTTTTTACATTTAACTCTTACCATACTTGCCACTCACTAATGACAAAATAAGAGTTCAAAAAGAGCTGAGCTTAGTGAGCTAAAGACCCACTGCACATAATAATCAAGAGGGAGGATGAATATTTAGAAAATATGCCTAAATGTGATGTGTTAGCACCAAGTACACAGATGCCAATGCTAATACAATGAAGTAACAAGGTGGGGAGAGAGAGAGGAAATAAGGAGAGGAGGGGACAGAATGGGGAATGGTGGTAGGAAAGAGGGGAGAAGGAAAGAATAGTGAGAGGGAGGGGTGGGAGTGGGGACAGAGGAGAAGATGGTAAAATGGTAAAAGGGCAAGAGAAAGGCCAGGAGGGCGAAGGCAGGGGAAGAAACGAGTGAAAAAGAAGCACTTATTACAAACCTCCCATTATGCCTGGCCCACTACTTCCCTAGCTTGTCCAAACTACTGAACTTTTCTGAGCCTCACTTCTTCACATGTAAAATGAAGGTAATTTAGAGTGGTTGTGAAGATTAAGAGTTAATCCATGTAAAGCACTTAGAGAATGCCTGGCACACAGTAATAAGCACAGTGTAAAGCTCTTCAGCTAAAATAAAAGTTATTACTAGAGAAGCTAAGTAATGTGCCCGAGGTTATAAAGCTAATAAGAGCCAAAATTCAAACCCAGGCAGCCAAATCTTTGTTCTAGGACAGCTAATGTCTACAGCCTTCCACGTATGCACATTTATGAAATGGAGCCAGACTCTGTCCTGGAGAAAGTTCTCTATACAACCACATGACTCCCTAAGGATTTTATTTATCAGTGTTAATTTGCTCACCCTGCATATTTTAGAAATGTTATCACTGAAGCAGAAGAGAACAATTTGTGCTGGTTGCTAAAGGAAGGAAGGGATTTTGATTAAGAAATAGGTTAGGAGAAGAATGTCTCAGAACACTGTTGAAAAAGAGTATGGCTACAAATACAGGGCAAAAAATGGTGCTCTGTCTGAAGAAAGGAGAAATTAATCATTCACAAGATTTGAACTAACATTCTCTGCAAAACTGCATAACTTCAATAAGGGGAGGGGGCAAAAAAGAGAGTGATCTAAAATACAACAAGGAAAAATGACTGTATATATAGAAATAATTAGTTCAACTGTCTTCACAAATAAGTCTCTAGATGTAATAAAGTTGCCAAAAGATACTTAAATATTTGTATAATTTTCAACAAAAGAGATATTCTGAGGAAAGAGAAAACATACAATGACAAAGAAATCCTACTAGACTGTATAAAAATGTAACAATGTGCTTATAAAAAAAGTATAAGAAAGGTCAGCATATAGTATTTCTATATGTGTAAAATATGTAATGCATAAAGACTGCTATCTCTAGTATACAAATAGTACTCCAAAGTGGTAAAGGAAACAAATCTAATAGAAAAAATTGTCAAAGGCTATTCACACAAGGAAAAGTCACAAAGAAATATAAAAGGCACTAGGTATATGAAAACATGGTAAGTAACTAATTTCTTAGCAAGGAAATAAGTATTAAAGCAATAGTAGGATACTGATGGAAGAACTTGTCAAAAATTAGGAGCAAGTGTTGCTAACCTGAAGAAAGACAAGGACACTCACAGACTAATGGGATCATGAATGGAATACAGCTTACAGGCCAGCAATCCCTCTTAAGAATCTATCCTACAAAGAACAGTACAGAGGACATCTGTATAGTAACAATAAGGAGAAAAAAACTAAACATTGAATAATACAGGGAAGGCTAAATAAAATATAATGTCCCTTAATAGGGAAATAGGCAGCTTTAAGATGATTTGACTTCATCCCAGAGTTGACAACTG